TATCTATCTATCTCCTTATTGTAATGGTTAGGACTTCCATGGGGATGTTGGGTAGAAGAGGTAAGAGCAGATATCTTTGTCTTGTTTCTATATCTATGGGGCAAATGTTCCTTATTTCACCATTAAGTAAGAAATTCATTGTAGGTTTCTCACAGATGCCCCTTTTATTAGATTGACAGTTATTTTCTTTGTTGAAAGTTTTGATAATGAATGAGTGTTGGTTTTGTCAATTGCTTTTTTTTTTTTTAATATTAACTGAGATTATTACATGGTTTCTCTCTTTAGCTCTGTATTTTCAGTGATTGGTTTTTAAATGCTGAAGTAACTTTGTACTCCTGGGTTGACCCAGTTTGGTCCATTACTCATTTCTATATTGTTTTTTTATTTTGCTCGGTCCAGTTTGCTGTTGTTTAGTGGAGCATGTTGCCATTCTGATCAGGGGACATATTGGCTTATAATGTCCGTGGAACAGACTTGTCAGCTTTTTATATCAAGTTTATGTTTGCCTCATAAAATGAACTAGAAAGTATCTCTTACTCCTTTATTTTCTGAAAGAGTTTGTGTAAAATTGCTGATGTTTCTTCCTTAAATATTAGACAGAATTCACCAGTTTCTATTATTTTGGGCTGGAGTTTTAATCATGGGAAGGTTTTTGACTACAACTCCAAGTTCTCGAAGAGATTTGGGGCTATTCTGAGGTTTTATTCCTATTTATACTAATTTTGGTATATTGTCATTTGTCATTTTTTCTAAGTTGTTGGATATATATATCTATGTTCATTTATTATCTTTAACATCTCTAGAGTCTTTGGTGAGTCCCCTTGTGCATTCCTGATATTGGTAATGTGTGTTTTCTCTTTTATTAATCATTTTTTCTAGGTGTTACCAATTTGGTTAATTTTTTGAAGAATCAACTTTTGGCTTTATTGATTTTTTTATTGTTTGTTTTCTATTTTATTGATTTCTGCTCTCATCATTAATATTTTTTTCTAATTACTGCAGGTTTAACTTGACACTCTTTTTCCAGCTTTGTAAGGTGTAAAATCTCATCTAATTTAAGCATTTAAAGCTATAAAGATGTCTCTTAATTACTGTTTTAGCTTCATCCCATGATTTGGGGTATCCTGTTTTCATTTCTCATATGTTATATATTCTCATTCCATTTAAAATACCATTTAATTTTTCTTGCATTTTCTTTTTTGAGCCCAAAGGTTATTTAGAAGTGTGCTGTTTAATTTCCAAATAGTTCGAGAGTTTCTAAATATATTTTTGTTATTGATTTCTAATTTAATTTTGTGTGATCAGAAATTTATGGTTTCAATTTTTTAACATATTGTGAGTTATTTTATGGAGAGCATATGGTCTGTCTGGGTGAACATGCCATGTACACTGACACGTGTATGCCGTCTTGTTGAGTATATTGTTCTAGATGTCCATTGGGTCAAGGGGGTGGTTAATGTTTCTGTTGTTTCTTTGCTCATTTTTTTGTTTAGTTCAGTTAATTGCTGAGAGTCAGGTATTAAAATTTCCAACTATAATTGTGGATTTTTCTGTTTTGTCCTCTAGTTCTGTCAATTCTTGTTGGTATATTTTGAAGCTCTGACATTAGTTGCATTCATGTTATGTCTTTTTGCTTAATAGACCCTTTTATTTGAAAGAAGTTTTTGCTGAGTATGGAATCCAGGTTCACAGTTCATTTTCTCTGCTAGTGCCTTGAAGCTGTCATTCCCTTGTCTTCTGTTTTGCTTTGTTTCTGATGAGGAGTCAGCCATTATTTTTTATCTCCCCCCTTTTCTATTTATCCTAGATTTTTAGCAAGTTGATTGTGACATCAGCAGGTGTGGTTTCCTTTGTATTTATTCTGCTTGCTTTTCACTGATCTTCCTTGGTTGGTGTGTTACTGTATTTTAATGAAATTTGGGAAAATTTTGGCCATCATTTCTTCAAACCTTTTTCCCAACTCCATGCATCTCTCCCCTCCTCTTGGGATTTGATTGTACATAAGTTAGACCTCCTGTACTTTCCTATAGCTTACTAAGACTGTTTAATTTTTGGTAAATCTTCTTGTCTCTCTTTGTTTCAGTTTGGAAACTTTCCATTGACCTGTCGAGTTTACCAATTTTTTTTCCTAGCTTTATCCAATCTTTTGTTAATAGCATACCATGAATGTTTTATTGGAGATTCTATGTTTTAGTTCTTCCAGTAGATTCTTTTACAGTTTCCAGCTCTCCTGCAAATCACCCATATCTTCATTATAGTTTCTTCTGTGCATTGTTTACCATACTTATAGTTCCTTAAAGTGCTGGTCTTCTAAGTCTAACATCTGGGTTTATTTCTCTTGACCATGGGTTATATTTCCCTGTTTCTTTACATGCCTGGTAATTTTTTATTGTATACCAGTCATTTGTACATTTATTGTACACCATACATTGTGGTTTATACTCTAGGTTTTGTTACCTTCCGCTGAAGAGTGTTGTTTTTTTTTTTTTTTTT